GTAGCCTCGCTCAGGCTGCGGCAGAGTAGACAGGCCCTGAGGAAGTGAGACAGCTCACCGCTCTACCTGGAGCTCCCCCAGACTTTGCGGAGAGCCCATCTGCTCCCACACCCAGTCCACATAGTTGGAGACCTTTGTGTAGACTCCGTAGACCTGCTTGCTACCACATTCTTCAGGTCCCCCCCAGGACACCAGGCCTTGGGCCACCCAGCGCTGGCTCAAGTCATCAAGGATGATGAAGGCCCCACCACTATCTCCAAGGCATGTGTCCTTGCCACCCTCGTAGTAGCCGGCGCAGAACATGTTCTCTGTGACACTGTAGTTGCCGGAGCGGGACTCATAGCTGGTTTTGCACTCAGCGTGCGGCACCACGGGTAACTTGACATACTGCAGGACGTCCGACAGGGTCCGCGTGCCACTGCTGATGATCTCATCCACCGTGACGTTGGGATTAGAGATGCCCCAGCCGGCCACCAGGCCCAGCACATGGGGGGCTGGGCCTTCAGGCTGGAGCCTTGGCAGGCAGACAGGCATGACGTGGGGCCCCAGGGGCACGGGCTCCTGCAGCTGTACCAGAGCTATGTCGTGGTTGTAGTTCTGGATGTTGAAGTCTGGGTGGAGCACCACCCGGGCAGCTGAGCTGTTGACTGCCCCCGATTTGTCCCGCACGTCATGCAGGCCCAGGTAGACAGTGACGTGCTCCTTGGAGACTGGAATCACCGTGTTGTCCCTACGCTGTGAGCGCAACACGTGGGCTGCTGTGAGGATCCAGGACTCAGAGAGCAGGGCCCCACTCCCAAACCACTTGTCATTTGGCACCCTCGAGGTATCCTCCACCACTATCAGGGCCTGCCACGGGAAGAGGCCGGGCTCAGCGTTCCGGCCGCCGATGATCCGCTTGACCAGGTTAGGCAGGGAGCGGGAGGGCTGACCACACACTGTAAGGAGAAGCGGGGTGGGGACAGGAGACAAAGACTGATCAGATCAGCCATGTGAAAGGAGCCACTAAGAGAAATTCAAACCTCTCCCACTATAGATTATGCCACAGTGGGACCCTAACCTGCGTGGGCCAGGCTAGCCTGGGAGAGCCCCGTCTGGGGTCACTTTGGTTCTAAGTCTCTCCAGGCCAGCCCATCTCCAGTATGGCCCTTCTATAGCTGGGGCCGTCTCTAGACTGGACTGTTTTATGCTTGGGCCTTCTCTATCCTAAACCACCTCTGGCTAAGAATACTTTTGGCCTGGACCTTCTACAGCCAGGCCTGTCCCTGGTCGTGGTCACTTCTTCCCTTTCTCACCCAGAAAAGGCATGTCTCATCCCAGAAGGGGGCCACACAGTGGGCATTTAGAAAACTTCTGAAAGTTTTCTCTCCATGTCCATGAACAGGGAGAGATGGAAGGAACCTAAAAGGCCATCTAGCAGACCACGAAAAACACTGGACTGGGAACCAGAACACCTGGAGTCTTCACCCAGCTTTTGTCTTCTGTTTTCTACGTTACTCTGCGCCAGTTAATTTCCCTCTTTGGATTCCAATTTTTTTTTTAAATCTGCCAAATGAGGCAGGTGGTCAAGATGATCTCCAAGGATCTTTCACATTCCAAATACCTTTGGTTTTTATTTCACTTGCCCTGGCCACTGCCATTTCGTAGGTGAGTAAAACTCTCCATGGGTTAAGTGACTAGCCTAAGGTGACATGGCTGTCAAGTTGAACAGCAAGGGCTTAACTAGATTCCAAGACAGATGGCTCAACCTTTATCCCATACTGCCTCATTGCCTATTAAGATCATGGTCATGGGCCCGCAAACTTTTTCTTCTCTGTCCTAAAGGACTCATGCTGCCAGTCGATGCCTGTGAATCAGGCCCAGGGCATCCAGGGCTGGGAAAAGTGGCATAATCTACGAGCAATGATGCATGAGCCCTGCTCTGGGCCACCCATCATTGCACCCAGGAGCCCTGTAGTACCTTCAGGGGAAGGAGAAAGGTCTGAGCAAACTTCATTCCACTGAGTCGCACCCTGAGCATGCACATGCATCACCAGCTTCCTGCAGCCAAAGGCCTCTGGCCCATGAGCAGAAGGTCTTCAGTACCAGCCCCCTGCTGGCTAAGAACAAGCTCACGTGGGTCCTTCCCAGGCAGGGTGCTTGGGCCTGGGACGTAAGCCTAGTGTGGATGTGCACCTCCTCCCGGTTGCAAATGGTCAGGCTACACTTCTTAGCCTGGACACTTTCAGCAATCCTTTAGAGACCATGAAATATTCCCGTTTTCTTGGTAACTTTGAGAGGGCAGTTTCGGCAACCTAATATTTATCAGATGCTCTTCTTGCTGATACCAAATGCTTCTTGTGTGATCCTTGGGCAACTTGTCATTCACCCGAGGCCAGATGTAAATTGGCTTTTGTAACCTCTATGGCCTGGCCTTTCAAAGTTGAAGGTCAGCCTCCCAATTATAAGCAGCAGCCTACAAGGTGACATCTCAAGGCAGAGCTATGACTGGCCCTACATAACAACTCATTTAGTGCTGCAAGGCCTTCATCTGGTGAGTGACATGTCTGTGGCTCAGTCCATGGTCACAACAAAGCCAGCGCTGATCGATGCCTTTCTCCAACCAAGGTGCTGATGGCACACCCCATGTCATAGGAGATTAGAGCCAAAGAGATCCAGGAGAATAGCTAATTTGCAGATGGAAAAATGGAAGTTCAGAGAAAGCAAATGACTTACTTGAAGTTATTAGTGGTAGAGCCAGAAGTGGGACCCTTTTCTCCTTACTCTAGCTTCATTTCTCTACTCAAATCTATTTTTCTCCTGGGTGTGCTCTTGTCCTTTCAAGAGGCTGAATGATACAACAATCCTTTTGGGAAGTTCATTGAAATGGGGTCATTCTTACTGGCTTCTGCCATTCCCTACCCAGTCTTTCCTGGGACAAGGGAATTTTCTTGAAATGTTAGCTTGGGCTGTGCTGAAGCAAGATTTGGTCTCCAGAAGACAGTGGGTAGAGAGGGAGGGCCTTGAAACAAAGATGCGATGCTCTAGGATCCTGGGTTTATGGGCACGGTGTGGAACATGATGGGAGTAAAAGAATAGCTAAACATTGCTTAGTTGACATCAAAAGTCTTCAGTTCACCTTCCAACTCTGCTGCTAACTCCCTGGGGGTAGCCTTGGACAAATCCCTACACCATTCCTTAGTTTTCTCATTTGTAAAATAAGGGGGCAAATAATATTTAGTAGGCCCTCTGGAAGGGTAGGCTTTGTAATCCTAGATGAAATGACTTTCTCTATTCTGGCATGCATCCCCTTTCAATCTCAGGGTTTTAAGAGGAGACAACCTAGAAATTTCTGGCCTGGTCCAATGACACAACATGGTTCCCCCAAGCACTGAGTGTTAAAAGCATTTCGTGACTCTTTGTACACAAGATGCTTTGTACGAACACAGAGAATGATGACCATTAAGACTCATGGGAGGTCCTAGGTCTCTGGGTCCTGCTCCTTCACTTTTGAGGCATGGAATCCCTGCCCTACAGAGGTGTGATTCCTTACAAAGATCATAGTTAGGAAACAGCAGCCCCAGAACTAGAATCTAGGCCCCTGAATCCCAGCTCAGCGCATCTTCCCCTTCCTGAGGCTGCAACATGGCTTACCAGAACAGAATCCACTCCTAGTTTACTTCGGCTCACATAGTCTTTTAGCAAAACGGGGATTTGATCCTGCAGTTTGCCACAACTCCACCATTGCCCTCCTCTTTTAGGCTTCCCTGCCTGGAGTCTGTGAGTGTGTCCCTGGGCCAGCCCAATTGAGCTGAGTGGGATCAGCAGATGTGAGCGGGGTGGACTTTCCCTTCTTCTACCCTCTCATGACTTCCTTCTTAGGCATAAAGACTCTTATGTGAGGTCTTCCTAGCCAGTTCTCACCCCTGCACTCCTGGACAACCAGGCACAGTTACTTCCTTCTTCTCTGGGATCCCATAGCACCTACAATGGCCAAAAACTGACTCCCAAATGCTAACACGTTCTTCACTTCTTGAGGATTAATGGTACATGACTCCATAGCCTTTCCATTTTAGTGTCTAATCTAATATCTAGAAGCCCACTGACTGAATATGGAAGATTACTGAAATATACCATTAATATAATACACTACCTCAGTTTGCCCAACACTCTAATTCAGTAAAATGCAAGTGCCACCCAATGCCTAAGCATATTGCAAAGCTCCTGCTGTTTGTGCAAACATGCAGATGCAATTAGGACAAACACTTTATTTTTCAGTGTTCCTCAGTGCTGTCTTGAGTTGTTGTATCATTTCATTACTGCCGTTTTTGTTTTTTTAAAAAGTATAAATTACTCTGTTGTGAATTTTAAACTTAATGTTTTGTAGATTATTTAACCCTACAGTGTGCATTTTGGGGTTATAATTTTCTGAGTCTATTTGAATATGTATACTCTGCGATTGCAATGCAAATCATTCATACTAAAGCAAATATCCCCAAAATCTATATGTATAGTGACACTTCCTGTTACCACAGAACTTCCTTTCCATTTTAAAGTGGGGTCAGTGGGTAAACCATGGGGAAGGCAACAATCAGAGACTTGAACCATTGCTCTTTGGAAGAACTTCTTACTCTGTCCTATAGTTATTTGTTATTTGGTAGCATGATGAGTGCTCGAGAACAGGGTGCCCACTTTCTTGATTTCCTGGCACAATAGCAGGTGCAAACACAATCTGTGTTGGATGAAAACCTGATGGCAAGGACACAGAACTAGACAGAGGAGACAGAAGGGTTCTTGGCAGGATAAAGCAGGAGGACTATGGAAGCCGGTTGGTTAGAAAAGATGTGAAGCTGGGCTTCCCTGACCTTTAACCTTTCGAAGATATCTCTTAAAATTAACAATCAAAGCATCACACCCCCACCATCCCCCGCCATCTCCCTATTAACAACCAGAGCACCTGGGGCCTAGGGCCTTGGATGGGAGACCTTGGGGTAGAGGGTGAGGAGACCAGAGTGAGGTACCTGGAAGACATGTAGGCAGGCTTCTTCCCAAAACTTTGTTCATCCAGACCCCTTGGGCAGAACAGGAATATATACCTGGATGAGTAGAAAAAGGTAGAAGATGAGAGAAAATGGTTGATTTATAGTACGTGGAAAACAGATCTAGATTTTTAATTCCTTTAATATGGATCATTGCAAAAGTCTTCGGAATGGTCTCTCTGATACCATTCTCTCTGAGCCTGTCCTCTCCGCAACCCGAAGGATCTTTCTAAAACGGGAATCTGACCATGTCCCTTAGAATTGCTAATGGCTCCCACTGTCTTCAAAAATAAACACCACACTCTTCAGGATGGCATCCAAGGCTCTGTGCAATCTGACTCCTGCTGTCCGAGGGCTGCTCCCCTCCCTGCCCAAAACTGCCCAGCCTCTGGCAGGCACCTTCCCCTCATTAGTCACACAGACGTGGGCTCACACAGTTCTCTGTGGTGCACATACCCTTCCCTCCCTTCTCCACTTGGCAAACTCTTTAATAAGCCACATTCATGTCCACCACCTCAACTGAGTCTCTGTGAGGTGTATCACTCTTCCCTCTTTGAAAAGTGAGGACTTGGTGGCTTAGAGAAATTAGGAGAACTTCTTAGTGCTTGCATGCCAGGGAGGCAGAGCTGATGGCCCCTCTGCCTCTTGAGAGCTCCTTTGCTGTTGGGGACTGTGGGTGTGCGAGGGTGAGGGGTGCCACAGGCAGGAAGGGAGGCACATCTCCAAGTGCTTATCCTCCCCATGCCTCCCACACCTCCACTGTGGCCAACAGACTGGCCATCGCTGGTCCTTCACCCTTTGGCTTGTGCACTGCTGCTCAGCCCTGGGGCAGCCAGGGGTCTCCCTGCCAGGTGGTGAGGCTGAGGCCTGGAGGGGACAGTTGTGGCTGTGCTTCAGCCTTGACCAGGCATATGCTGGGCTACCTGGTGAGGCAGACAGATCTTCTCCTCACTCCCCCATCCCACCTGGACCCCTGTGCATGTCAGGGGAACAGGGCTGTGAAGGGAGGACTCCTTCCTGCTGAATGGGTCTGCTCTGGTCAGGTGGGAGCCAAGGCGGAGACTGGCTGAAGCAGCAACATGGGCCATTTTTTGGAAACCCCAGCTCAGCCCCAGGCAACATGAAGGAATTTATCTTGGGAGATCTCAAGCTTCTTGTAGGTTCTCATTTTTTCCCTTAGTTGTGTCAATGTATGACCCCTTTATTCTCCCACCAACAAGATCTATGCTCATTCACAGCATCAGTGCTAGAATTAAAGTTAAAAGAAAAAAAGCCTGGGTTTTGGTCCTGAGTCTCAGTTTCTGCATTTCTAAATGGACACGGTAACGGCAGCTCCTGGGCAGTGAGAATCAGAGCGGATGATGTGTGAGATTGCATTATAAGGCTTCACACACTTATAACAAGGTATTTCTTTCAGAGCTGTCTCAGCCCTGGCCTAACCCTGAGGCCGAGAGAGTAGGAGGTGGACGTGGGATGATTTAGCATGGGGGGCTTACCTGTGATGTTGTGGAGCATCTTGTAATAGGGCTGCTGGCAGGAGTATCTGATGTCAGATTTGTATGTGGTGAGGTTGTTCCTTGTGGAGAAGGCGACCAGCCCATGTTCCAGTTCTGCTGGGGCTCCACAGTCTACAACTGATAGACAAGAAGTGAGACCCTCAGCTACATTTTGCTCTTCTTCCTGGGCCATCTAGTGGGTCTGTCTCATGCAGATGTGCAGGTTGTGCCCTTCACACTATTGCAGAGAGCAATGCTATAGTCTATCTGAATGGTGCATCTGGAATTGTGCAGTGTACAACCTGTGCAGCTACCAGTGGCCCTGCTTTTAGGGTCTGGGACTTCCATCCATTATATATTACTGTGTAGTCAACTGACCTGGCCTGATGTCAATTTCCGGGAAGGGGCAGTTCTGCTGAGATTTAAGCAGACTTCAGTCTTTTACCCACCGCGGTCCCTTTCTTTGATTTCCAGTTCTATTGTGCAACCCTCTCTGCCTCTTCTGCCCAAGCATGAAGCCCTTGGCCCAGTGAGAAAAGTCTGGCTGAATTGAACCAAAAAATCTTCCATTTTTTCAGTTCCAACCATAGGCTGACTAAGAACAGTTAATGTGTTCACACTGGAGTTAGCACAAAAAACCAAAACCCACCAAACAAAAACCCCAGCTCCTGCATGAGTGCACAGCCCCACCCTGCCGGCTCTCTATGGGCAGCTTGCTTGGCTGCAGAAGGCAGGAGGTGGCATCACGGGGGGCCAGCTTTTACTCTGCGAGGACTCTTTTCTCCAATTTCTGCCCATTTTCTCCAATTGTTGGTGGCTGGACATCGGGGCTGGCTGTAGTCCCAGTACAGGACATGGCCAAAGGTGGCTGCCCCTCAGAGGGGGTCCGAGGGGAGTTGCCAGCACTGATGGAGTCCAGCATGAGTCACCTGAGCTTGGGGTATCTTTTCATGGCCACACAAGAGAGGGAGGACCCAGTTTGTCCACATCTTTTCAGGAGCCTCCTTTCGAGGATGATGCTTATTTCTAAGGAAATCCTAGTCTTAGGCATAACTCTATGCCAGAGTCAAGGAATCATCCAGAAATCGTAGGATTTCACAGCTGGAAAGGAACGTGAGGTAAGCGATCTAGAATAACCTCTTTATTTCACAGGTGAGCCCAGAGAGGAGACTCAACTAGTCTAAGGTCTCCCAGTGAGTTTTTGTCAAAGTGAGAACTAGATCTGACTGTGAAATCCATGCTGTTTTAGTAAATGGAACTAATAGTTCTTAAGGATCTCTTTTCCTGTTAAACGGCCTGTCCTAGATATTGGCTGGCTAATTTTGGACATCAGCTGTGAGTGTTTCCAAAGCCCTGGTAGAATTTCCAAATCCACCTCCTCTTGAATTTTACCTGCTCACCTTGGGAAACAGTGAGGGCTGTTTAACCCTGAGTGCTATTCAGACATTGCGATTTTAACTTTAGGACTCCAAATTCATGTCTTTAATTGACTAGAAGGTTATCTCACTTAAAATATAGATAATTCCAAGGCCCTTCAGGAAAGGGATGAAAGAAGGGAATAAATGTAGATGCCTCCTATCCCCAAGAAAGGCAAAAGCCAAGAAAACTGCTTTTGTCCTGGCCTCTAGTCCCCCTGGACAAATCATCCTTATTTGTTTTGATTGCCCAAAAGTAGAGACATTCTTTTACTTGGTGAGGTGAGTGCGTAAAGGTCAACACTATGATAATAAGAGGAAATAATCTTTTTATTTAAAACCATGAACAATTTTAAATTTATTTTCCTAGGGAGACTCAAAGCAGATATTTTTTTCCTCTTTTAGGAAATGCCATTGACTGCTGCCTAGATATTGGTATTACTTTCATCTGGCAGTTCATTTTTCCTACAGTATCCTCAAGACCTAACTACCTAGTTCCTAGTGGAGGAATTCCAGGGTGACCTTACAGGTTCAGGCTACTGAGAGCCTGGTGTGTGGCTGGCACTGGCAGGGAGGTATTTTTGGGGTGGAGGGCCTGCTTTCACATCGCTCTAGAGAAGTGACTTTGCCCACTGTTACAGCTGGTCCTACAGCCAGATAAAGGGGCTATAAACAGCAGGAAATAGAGGGTCACATCAGCTTGGGTATGTGAGCAGGGAAGGGTGCCCCTTCTTCCCTGGTCTATGGTGGCAGGCAAAAAGCCATGTCTCTCTGGAACTTGGAGGCAAATTGTCTTCATGAGGGGTCTTGAGCAGCTCTGCACAACCAGCACACATCAGACCTGCTTCCTCAGCTAGTCTATCCTCTTTGCTTTAGGAAGAGTCTCATCCTTTTCTCTAGAGCTCTCACTGGCCACTTCCACACCCCGGAATCACCCCTTCTCTTTCCCATTCCCTTGGCCTCCCATTCTCATTGTTCTCTGGGGTGGGCTGTACTAGCCCACACCTCATCCCCACTGTCATCTCCGGCTGCCATTCATTGTCTTTCAGGCACACCTTTCTTGACCTACAGTCCTGAGCACGCTTTGCCGTATGGAGGGGCTTCCCAGAGAGCTATGTGCAGGCAGCTCACCCTGGCACTCAGGCCCCAGGGCAGGGACTGCAGCTTCTTCCCTTCCCTCTGTGCACCTGGGCTCCAGCAGCACCGGCCCTTCAGTGTGCCACTCTCCCTGGCCGCCTCCCCCTCTCAGGCCTTACGTGTGCCATCCTTGCTGCCCAGGGCACCCTGCGTCCGTGCTCGGGCCACCCACAAGGCCATCATCAAATACTATTTCTTTTTGAAAGCCTTCCTAATTCTTCTGGCAAGGCTGCTTCCTTGTTCTGGAACTTTTATTCACGCCTCTCTGATGGCATGTATCTTATGGTGTCTGGTATTGTAATTATTTGGGTATGTTATCAAATATTATTCTTAAATTATGCTTTTCTCTATCACACTAAGTATGATGTCTGTTAATACTTTGTGAGCTTCAAGATATTTACTCAGATATTTACTCAGTTGTTATAGCCAGCCCATCTCCTCTCTCAATGGCACCTCTAACCTAGCATAACATCTGTCTCCGGACTTCTCAGAATTCTGCCCTTTAAAAGTGGCCTTTTAATCACCAAATAGACTGGGCAGTCACAATTCAGTGCAGGAGTTCTCTGACATGTGTATCCAGATGGCGCCCAGGCTAAAGCTGAGATTCTGCCTGCCACTCCATAGCCCTTTCTCTATCACTGTTCAGGACCCAGTGATGTCCCATGGCACCAGAGCTGAGGACCACTGCTTTCAAGTGTGATGCCTATCTTTTTAAAATTTTTAATCAGTGAATTTTAAGAAACACAGAACTTGTAAGCCCCAGAAGGAAAGACCCTCAAATGCTGGAATTTCAGCCTTGTGTTAGGTAGGGGTAGAAGGGATACATTTGTGAAGGAGAAAATGTCCAGATTCTGAAACATTCACATTATATGAGTTACCATTTGTTTTACCTACTCATGGTTATTAAGAAAGTAGCAACAGGTAACAATTGTAAAGTCATAAAGTCACAGGCATTCTGGCCCACTTAAACTTGAAGTATGTAATGGATTAGAAACCAGGGCCCACTTTGATCTGGTCAGCCTAAGGTCATACGAGTGTTTATTAGATCTTGTGTCTCTAGGACCAAAGGCATTTTTCCTTTGAGAAGAGTACAATCCACTTAGAGGTGATAAAAAAAAAATCCCCATTGTTTTCATTATGTTCTGGAGTAATGTTTGAATGATGGGCGAACCCTCAAGTGGAGAATCTGTGTTCTCACGCATGCAGCAGCTTCAGCTGCTGAGACCGTGTTGCCTCGTTCAGCGCCGGTTCTAATCCACACTGAAATGGGCAATGGAGCGTTGGCAGGAGGGGAGGGGTGGAGCAGCTCTGGGACCCGGGGGTCTTGTGAGTGATCCATTCTTGGATGTCTGCACTGTGTGGGGTCCCGTCATTCACTCTGTCACTTGCTCTGACTTGAGTTCGCTCTCCAAATCGATTTCGCTTTCTGCCACCATGGTGAAGATCAAAGAAGGATAGAGAGATACAGAGGAAGGAAGCAGAGAGAGGAAGAGAGAGAGAGAGAGAAAGAAATTAGCAAGCAAAGCAGAAACAGTTTATGCAGGAAATACAGAAATCACTCCACCAGAATTGATTAAGAATGCATAGTTTAGGTAATAGCCAGTATGAAGAATAGTTTGGGTTTGCGGAGTTTGTACCATTCTGAGAATTTGCATAGTCACCTATCCTGGTTCATGAGGGTTACAAAATTCTGTCCCTGGAGGGAGCTTTGCGTTCATCTGGTCCAAACCCTCATTTGACAGACAGCATTCAGAGTAGAACAGGACATGTCCAGGGTCACCACAGCAAGGCAGAGGCAGGGCCAGGACAACAACCCATAACTTCTACTTCCTTTTCCCTCATCTGATCCCAGTCCCTTAATGCACAATCCCTGGGAACTTTCAATGTTCCAATCTTGTTTTTGCATCTTCCCTAGGACCTAGCACAGTGTCTGAGACAGAGAGATGCTCAATAAACCCTTGCTGAGTGAGCAAAGGTGCCAGGGATGTCTGAATGGGAATTCTCATGGTCTTTATACAGCCTACTGAGGGAGAATAGGGTCACACTCGAGAGAAAAAAATTCCCCTTTTCTTTAGCACAAAATGACAGGGTATTCTGTTGTATGTTAACATAAGTCAGGGAAGAATTATTAATCAGGAAAAAAATTATTAATAATATTTCCTACTTTCTAAAAGCAGGAATGAGAGAAACCAAACCTCTTCCTAGTGAGAGGATTAGGTTGGGGCTGGGAGTGGGGAATAAGCTTTTATTGAGCCTGCCCATACTCCTGGCACTCCTTGGGTATGGGTATGCACATTGACCAGTTAGTCTTCAATCTCCAGGACAGGAAACCGAGGCCAAAAGAGTCTGAGTAAATTGGTTACGGATACTCAAATAATAGAGTCTGCATTTGAATCTAGAACTTTCTGACTCTAAACCCAGATCCTGTCCTGAACTCCCCATATCCTCCTCTACCTCCTTCAAAATGACCCCTGCCTTGTCCTGCAGAGCGCTTTGCTTAGACGCCAGTCACAGCACTGCCCCTCCAGCCAGTGCTGGAGGAGGTGGTGGCCGTGCCTGCCAGCATTTGAGTTCCTCCACGTCTGGACCTTGTCTTACCCCTTGAACTCTCTGTAGAACTCTGCGCAGGCGTCCAGTAAAGATTTGTTCAAACTTTTGTTGAAGCCATAAAATGCCCCTTTTTCCACACTGGGCTCTAACTCCAGCCACATCATCACATGAAAAAGAAAAACTAAGAACAAGCACTTTCTGCTTCAAAGTTTTGCCTGGGATTCATCTTTAGCCAGCCCCGGCCCCTGAGAGTGTCCCCCAGTGGATTTGTCTACCTACTGGATGGGAGCTGTTTAGGAGAAAGGGAAGAAGACAGCGCTTGTGTTTATAGGAAAGATCATGAAGTGAAGGTGGGTGGGACCAACCCTAATTCTTGACTTCTCACCTCTGCATTCTAAAGCAAAGCCTCCGTCCCCTTTCCTTCCTTCCTTCTCCGTATCTTTCTGTCCCTTTGCCTCTGCTCATCACTGTTGCCATAGTTAAGTTTCTAAAATTGTGGTCCTTATAAGTCTTGCATTAAAATCACCTGGGTGGGGAGTGAGGGGTAGTGGTTGGAAACTTGTATTTTACAAAGCTCAATAGATGATTTATGTGGACTACTTTGTTTTAGAACCACTGGCATACATTCTAGACTGTTAAAGCTAGTCCAAGCTCTTTATCTTACAGTTGCGGTGAAGGATCTTGTCCATGGTCACAGAGTGGGTTAGGGGCAGAGACTCTGGGTCCCAAGAGCCAGGGAAGAGTCGTATCCCCCGCTTCACACAGGCCCACTGTGCCGACCCCACAGCCCTTCCCGCACGGCGCCAAATCGTGAGCTGGCCCAGAAGACCTAGTGTACACAGCTGATGGCCACGTGGAGACCAGCAAGGTCACACGACTCTGGGCACCAGTGACAGATTAGTTTCCTGAATTAGCAATTGCCAGAGCAAGTTTTGAACCTGGAGACATGCTATTCCTTTAGCAAGCTTGGCAACCTATCTGCAGGCTGAAGCGAAATTAGTATTTAGAAGGTAAACGGGTGCCCACATGAAGTTTCTTTTGGGATCCTAAAGTCTTATTGCTGAAGGGGGCGTTGATACTCTGTTTTTCCAACCCTCGTGTGTCTGTTGAACTCCTGCCCCTTAGAGAGCTCCTGCCAAGCTCATGCCTTTCGTGGTCTCTTCCCGGATCCCACCAGTGTGGGGGAGCTCATTGTCCTCATCATCACCCTGTTAGGTTTTCTTACTTTTACAGGTGGGGATCCTGTTACTCCATGTCCCATCCTTCAGACACTCGATCTGGAAGGTGTCCATCTCCACATTATCCTGGGGAGAAACAGGAAGAAGGGAGTGGAAAGAAGGAGGTGGGGGTGGGGTCCATGTCTGCTTCCTAACAAAACCAACTCAAACTTCAAACCTGCTGTCCTCACCTGAGCTTTTCTACCCATGGGCCTCCAAGGGAAGGCTTAAAGATATGGGAAAGATAGATGCTGAGTTCCTAGTCCCTGTTCCTACTCTGGAAAGAGGCAAGGGCTATGTGCAAGGAGTTTGGGCAGTTGTCTCTGAAGGGAAATCTGTAGCCTTGACTCCTTTTTCAGAGCAGTGGTTCTCAAAGTAGGCCAAGCAGTCAGCATCGCCTGTGGGGCTTGTTAAAACACAAACTGCCGGGCCCCATCCCCAGAGTTTCTGAGTCAGTGGGTCTGGCCCTGCCCAAGAACTTGCATTTCTAACAAGCTTCCAGGTAATGCAAGGCTGCTAGTCCAGGGACCCCTCCTGAGAACCATTCCTTGAGAGCAGTGGTCCTCCAGCTTGGCTGCATGTTAGACTCTCCTGGTGAACAAAAGAAACCCAATTGGCAGTCCCAGCCCCAAAGGTTCTGCGTTAGTTGATCTCAAGTGAGGCATGGGAGGTGATTTTTGATTTAACGCTAGCCAGGTGATTCCTAGCAGAACCACCACTTCAGAGGGTGGGGGAGTGAGGAATGCCAGTCTGCCACGTTTAAAACCTCGACTTCCCGCCACCCACCGCACCCTGTAGGCCTGATGAACTTTGTTACCATCGTCAGCCTTGATCATAGAGCTGAATGGATCCATATTTTTTAAAAATTCAAATCAGTTCCTGCTCTGATTAAAAACAACAACAACAAAAACTTTTGTGTCACTTCAGAAGTGTGAGAGACAGCCTGGGACATATGCTTTGGAATTTCTGGAGCATTTAGGAGGTTTACGGGCCAGTTAGGAAATACTGCGCTGGGACTATGACAAGCTCTGGCAGCCCATCTGCCCCGGGGGGTTCGGACAGTTTCTCTGGCCTGGTTGCTGCCCCTCCCCAGGCAGGGCCCTGCACCTTCAGCACTTTGTAGCCCGTGTCACAGCTGATGAGCGCTTGGTCTTTGAAGGAATACTTGGCTTGCAAGGGCTCGATTTTCCCGTTGACAGGAGGCTGTAGCTCTGGGCACTCGTTTCCTGGTGGGGAGTGAGTGAAAGAACAGCAGATGAGAAAACCAGAAGCCTGGCAGTAAAGGGCCAGCCCTAGAACGCAAGGCCTGATGGAGGTGGGAAAACCACAGGACTGAGTACTGGAGGCCTGGACCTTCTAGGCCTTGCAAGAGACTCACTCCGGATCTGTGAGCAAGTCACTTTCCAACTTGGTGGTTGGCCAGATGGTGTCATTAAAACTTGGAGTTGAAAGGAATATTAAATGTCATTGAATCCAACTGTTGTCCAATGATGCTTCTTTCCAATTTCCTCCATAGTAGATACCATACATTTGCATCCCTACAGTGACAGGAAGCTCAGTACCTACCTAGCCTATACCTTCCATATGTGGACTCTGCTAATTGAGTGAATAATGCTTTCCTTTTCAGCTGTAATGTGTGCCCTTGTAATTTTTACTTCACATAATTTGCCCTGTTGGGCCACCCAGGATGACCCCAATTGCTCTTTCTTCCCAAGACCCTTCTTCAAATCGTTAGAGAGAATGTGATCACATGCCTCTAAGTCCTCTCTTCAAAAGGCTAAATCTGACAGGATCCCCAGGCCTGGGCCTACCTCTGACACTGTTTCCTGGACAAACTCTCTTTTGTTAATATCCTCTCTCCACTCCTCTCCCCCATGGGGCACTGCAGGTGACCACGCAGACCAGGCCAGGGGCTCCTTCTATGAACTGGATTAGTCATGCCTTTTGTCTCTGATGTTCACTCTCTTCTTCCTTGAGTTATTTCAAATCAGTTACTATGGGTCAAATGGCTCTATCAGGGTTTGGGGTTGGACTGGCTGCCTCGGGGGACTGGAGAATGAGACCCACAAGAAGGTGACGCACCATAATGAAATATTCTGAGCTTTAGTCCACATCCAAATTCCAGCCTCAGGTTTAGAGAAGCCGGTCTGGTCTACCCAACATTATTGCTGCCCTTGCCCCGATTTTATAGATGGAAAACCGAGTCAGGAAAGCACCTTGGTCCCAAGCTACTCAGCTGGGAGTCCCACCAGGTCCCAGGAGGCATTCCAAGCCTGCACCTCTCCTCTTTCAGCCACTGCCTCTGGGTGGGCTGAGCACAGCGGCTCGGTGTGGCCTGGGAGGGAGAGCTTACCTGCCGCCCTGTAGGAGAGCCGCCAGCCCCGGTTCTCGCCCGAGTTGTCGCTGCGGAACAGTATCTGGACGCTGTGGCTCTGGGTATTGATGGGTTCTGGGGCTTTCTCTCCACAGAAGGGCCCCAGAACGTTTGGACCGGCTTTAATCTGTGAGAAGCGAGGTAGAGACAGAGAGGGTCACATCTGAGCAGCTGGGGTGGACTCTGCAGGCAATGCCTCCACACTGCACTCTAGGGTTTTCTGGAAGCCTCTACGTGAACCCATGGTATTCTTGTACATTTTTAGTGGGCCTTACCTCTCACCAAATGATTTCATCTCTACTATCTCGTTTATAATTTACAGTGGTCCTCAAAGTAGACAAGGCAGGTTAATAATCCTCTGCTTGAAGATGAACATATAGTGGCTCAGAAAGGGCAGAGTCCTGTCTGGCACACAAAATAGACAAGGTCTCTGCTCTCGAAGAGCCTGCAGTCTAGTTGGGGAAGACTAACCAGAAATAATGAATGAAAGAATTATAGATTGTCATAAGGATAATAAAAAATAATCAGGACAATATACATATATAATAGAAATATATGCTATATGTTTAAAACTTATCTATTAATAGTAAAATCTATGTAATATATAGAATTCATCTTTTATATAATAGACAGTGATATAATAGATAATAACCTCAAATAGGTGACCAAGAAAGCCTTTCTGAGGAGGTGACATTGGATCTGAGACATGCAGGATGAGTAGGAGCCTGTTTGGAGAGGAGGGAACAGCACTTTCCAGGCAGAGGAAACAGCACATGTAAAGGCCAAGGCCAGAGTGGGAAAGAACTGGGCAAGTGTTAAGAACAGGCAGGAGGCCAGGGTGGCCTGGACAGGGGGAGTGCCATGGCATGAGGTCAGAAGACAGGTGAGGGCTGCGTTGCGTAGAGCAATTTAGATTTAATTCCAAGTAAAATCTTACTGTAATCTAGATTTTATAAAGGTCGCCCTCGATGCTATGGGAGAATAGATCATGTAGGGCAAGGGTGGAAACAAGAAAATCAGTTGGGAAGTTTTGCAGTTGAGCAGGAGAGAGGCAATGCGGTTTCGACAGGGATGGTGGCAGTGGAGGAGAGATGGCAATAGGTGATATTAGCTGATCCAGATTCCCCCACACCAAGTCCTGGGCCCCTTCTATGCCTTTCACCACTTCTCCTTCCATCTTTGGGAACCAGGACTCCTTAACCATCATTTGGTGACTTTTGCAATCCTGGATGACATCTTCATCTGGTCACCTTTATTGTGCAAAAGGGGAAGAAATGTAGCCCCAAGAAGTTACATGCTTAGGTGAGGTTCTCATGTGTATCTCCTCGGACACTATGTGGGGCAGGAAAAATTCTAAGACAGTCCCCTCAACCTTCACCCTGCTGTTACTTTGTGATTATATCACATTCTATGGCAAAAAGGATTTGCAGATGTATTAAAGTTATTCATTGGCTGACCTAAAGACAGGTGGATCATCTGGGTGGGCTTAACCCATCACACGAGCCCTTTAAAGCATAGTTTTCTCCTGTTGGCAGCGGCAGCAGCAGAAGTCAGGGTAATTTGCAGTGTGAGAGGAATTTGATGCAAGGGAGCATCTCTTAGCTCTATTGGGAGGGGGCGGCAGGGAGGGGCTTGAGTGCAGCTTCTAGATGGTGCCATCAAGTGTATAGATAAGTGCATGGTTTATATACTCGAGGGCATCCATCTTTATCCCCAGCTCAGTGTCTGTCCTGGGATCAGACCCTAATATTCAGTTCCACTTGGATGTTTCAGCTGATCACTCTCTAAGAATTGCTGATTAACTTCCTGCATATCTCAAAAGTATCTGCCCCATTATTCCAGCTGTGGCTCAAATTCAGGCTGCCTTCACATCTCACCTGTACTACTGGAGTGACCACACATGAGTAGTTATTGGTCTATGGCATTCTCCTCACTCTTTATTTGCCTTTTACATAGCCTCTTCCCCCAAGCAGGACCAGCACCATAATTTGGGAGGTCCAGTGCAGAATGAAAATATGGGGCCTCTTACTCAAAATGTATCAGGAATTTCAAGGTGGCGATGACAGGACATCGAACCAAGCATGGGGCCCCTCTGAGCCCAGAGCCCTGTGTGCATAGGATACACACTCATGAAGCTGGGCCTGCCCCCAAAGGGACCTTTCCAAAATGCAGATTTGACCCTGTGACTCTCTTCCTCAAATCACTCTAGTGGCCAGGGAGCTAGGTTTGGATTAGTGAAGATTCCTAGACTGGATCTGATTAATATGGTAAATGTTATTTTAAATAATGACTTTTTGGGAAACTAGCTGCTTGGCCCCCCATCCCAGGAGAAGATGAAGGGCCCAGAATATCAATTTTCCAATTCAGCCAAGATTTTCAGCATCCCCAGGACAAATGTCCATTGCAGGCTCACCTTGATGTAGTCATAGGGGCAGGGCACCTCGGGATGGTCCTCAATGTCGAAAATGTCCTCAAACTGCAGGCTGACCATGAAACCCTCCTCCAGCTCGATGGTGTAGAAGCATTCAGAACTCTTGGGGTAAGGGTTTGGGAAGTCAGGGCTGGTGATCACCCCCGTCCTCTGGGTAAAGAGGTTGTCACTGCACTCCACTGTTGGGAAAATAGCAGAGAAATGGCACACTGCAGCCATGGCCACAGCGGGCCCTTGCTTATCTGTCACTGTATGATTTCCCCAGTGGTCCCATGCGGTAGGCAGGGAAGAAATCAGCAGCCTCATTTTACAGATGGGGAAACTGAAGCCTAATGGAGGTAAGTGATTTATCCAAAGTCACACACCCAGTAGTTTGCAGAGTCAAGACTCAATTCTCTGTCCAGGGCTGTTCACCCTGTGTGATAGCCCTTCTCATCTGGTATTGGCTGGGGCAAGGGGAGTCTGGGATGGGAAGGTTTTGAGATGGAGCAGTCAGGGGGATTTCTGAACCTCTTTGGTCCTGTTCTCCCCTCCACCCAGAATTTCACTCAGGTGTCTGCACACAGCCACCTCGATCCCTCATCTCCTACAGGCCCCTCACACAACCTCTCTTTCTAGCGCCTTCCTTGCTTTGCTTTTCTTTATTTATGGTGCTGTCCACTCTGTTAAACTAAGTTTAGCCTAAAGCTGCCTCGTTGCATATTTTAAATTTGGCCTAAAAGTTTCTCTGTCCATAGTGAACTGTAACCTAACTGGATGTGTAAGCAGATTATAACCTACTCTTGTACCGGTCACTGAATTTCAGCCAATCACAGGCGGTCAACTATTCAAACTGAAATCAAACAAGGCAAACTCTGAGCTATAACCAAACCGGCTGTTTCTGCACCTCACTTCCGTGTTTTGTAGGCTACTTTCCTTTTTCTGTCCATAAATATTATCTGGCCATGTGGCGGCCCTCAGAGTCACTCTGAGCCTATTCTGTCTGGTTTGGGGGGAGCTGACCACTTTGCAAATTGTTCTTTTCTCAGTTAAACTGTCAAATTTAATTTGGCTGAAGCTTTTCTTTTAACCACTCCCTGACATTACATTGTATATTCATTTGTTGATTTCCTTGCCCCAACACGATGGTAGGTTCCATGAGCTCAGGGATTCCACTTTGCTCCCACTGTGTTCCTGAAACCAGGAGTCCAGTGTCCTGGGATCCTAGACATGGCTTAGCGCTGCTGAGGGACCTTTATTTGCCACTGAACCTTTACCCTTGGCTGAGCCATCCCAGATCTGGGACGTCAATCTTTCTAAGCCCTTGTTCATTCTGCTTATTTGCAAAAGGGAAAACTGTGGCCCAGAGCAGGAGGCATGACTAGCAAAGTTTCACAGCTACGAGCTGCAGAACAAGGTTAAATTGATATCCTTGAGTCCCCGTCTGTTTTCGTTTCTACCCCAAGTGTCCTCACAGGGTGATCTCACACCCAAGGGGGTAAAATTCTTGGTGGGGGAGGTCTTACTTTTTTATGCCTGATACACAGAGAGTACACAAACAAATATACAGTATGTGTGTAGTATTAAAATTTCATGGGGGAGGGGAGTTATTAGAAAAATAATGTTTAAAAAGGCTCCTGGGGACAGGGGTGAACATGAAAAGAATGACTGAGAAAACTTGCTCTACCCTTAGCCCCTACTGTACTGAGCACATAGTAAATACTCAAGAAAAACTTAACTGAATAAAAGCAATAGAAAACATAACCCTCTTCAAGAAACCTCTGGGGTGTGCCTGTTCTTTGCTTTACTATTGCTTTATACTGATGGTGTATATGGAGTTTTACTTGGAAGCAAATAGCAGTTTTTGAACAAGGAGGAAAAGCCACTCTTGTCCCCAGCTTTGAACCTCTCCAGTGCTCCTTCCCGCAGCTTCCGAGTGAGATCTCAGCACAGCCCCTAACCCTGGATCACACTCACCTACTGGCAGTTCCCCAAACGTTCCAAGTTCTATCACACCTCTGGATGTTCACAGAAGCATTCTCTCTGCCCGGAATGCCCTCCTTCTCCTTATTCTTTCATCTCTGTCATCTCTGCCCACTTCTCCAGGCCTCCTCAGGTCTGACTGTGCCGTGTCCACGCTTCCATTACATGGATGTAGCAAACGTTGCACTTACTACACTTCACCATTTGCTCACGTGGCTATTGCCCCACTAGTCCAAGAGCTCCTCCTGGAAAGTGGCTAACTCCTTCCATTTCTCCATCCTTCCCCCAGCCTGATACTAAAGCACAGTGGCTATGTGGATGAGAGACAGAAGGAATGGGAAGTTTTCCTGCTGTGTCTGTCTTTTCTTCTCTCCTCCCTTTTCTTTCCTTCGGGCTGAGGTCTCTCCACGTACAGGAATTTAGAGGCCATGGAAGAGGAAAGAAAAAGGAACTTCTGGGGCAGGCATTGTTCATGGCTCAGAGAGAAAGGACTGGAAAACCCATGTTATCCCCTAACTCCTACACGAGGAAAGGATACAGGACCTGTAGAGCAGAAATGCTGCCCAGGAATAAAGAGGGCCTGGTAGTCTAGAGCATCTCTCATGTGGTCCTTGGAGAGCCCAAGCTCAGGCTTCCGGGCTTTCCAGGCTGGGTGGGCATTTCAACATCTTCATCCACATGGTATCTGAGGCACATCCCTGACTTCATTTTTAATTGTCCCTACTGGGTATCTGTCTTTCCTATGAGCTTCAGGTAGTCTTCCTCAAGATGTGGCATCTAACGGCAAGGTATAGATTCATCCCTAGGCCCTACCTCGGCAGGTCCTGTTGTCTGTGTGGAGGATGTAGCCAAAGCGGCAGGAGCAGTAGTAGCCACCAATGTAGTTGTGGCAGTAGTGGTCGCAGGACAGCTCCTCGTCCTCCCTCTCTTTGCACTCATCCACATCTGCAGGGTAAGAAGAGCCACTCTATCAATATGTACGCTGTGATGAATGTGGCAGTCAATATTTATAGAGCATTTAGTATGTTCCACTGTGTTGGGAGGTTCATGCATTCTCTTATTTAATCCTTACATCAAGGCTAGAGGTAGCTATTATCTTCATTTTACAAATGAGGAAATTGGAGCTCAGAGAGGTTAGGCAACTTACCCAAGATCACAGAAAGCCAGGTTCAAACCCAGGCAACCTGATCCCTGCTGGGACCACTGTCCTCTAACAGTTGTGATAGTAATTGTGTGCCAGGCAACAACCTTAGGAAGCATTCCACATTTGTTACTACACATCCCGTTACTATTCTCATTCTACAGATGATGAAATGGAGACATAGAGGTATTACAGAACTTACTCAAAGTCACACAGGTAGTAAGTGGCAGACCCCAAATTCAAATCTAAATGGGCTGGCTACAGAGCTTGTGATTTTAACATCTACTCCATTCTGCCTCTTTCTTTCTAAGCCCCTAATGTGGGTCAAGTCTTGTCCTAGGCATTTCTCCAAAAGGGGTATGTGAATGGCCAACAAACACATAAAAAGATGTTCAACATCACTAGTCATCAGGGGAATGCAATTTAAACCACAATTAGGTATCACTGCATACCCACTGGAGTGGTTAAAAATTTAAAAATTGATAACATCTAATGTTGGTGAGGGTGTGGGGCAGCCAGAACTCTCATACATTGGTGGCCAGATATAAAATGGTGCAAACGCTTTGGAAAAGATCTGGCAATTTCTTATAGAAGTAAACATACAACTACACTATGAAGCAGCAATTCTACTCCTATATATTTACTCAATGGAAATAAAAACATATGTTCACAAAAAGACTTGTACAAGAAAGTTCATAAAAATTTTATTAATGAGAGTCAAAAAATGGGTAAGTCCCAGGTGGCCATCAATGGGAGAATGGATAAACAAATTATAGTATATTCATATTAATACAATGGAAAATTACTCTGCCAGTAAAAGGAGCAAATTACTGATGCATGCAACACGTGAATGAATCTCAAAAACATTATGCTGAGTTAAAGAATCCTCACTCCCAAAATATATTCTCTGTGTGTTTATTTCTATGAAGTTTTATAAGAGGCAAAAACTAATCTATGGCAGAAAAAAATCAGAGCAGTTGTTTCCTCTAAGGGAGGTGGGAGCAGGAATTGACCAGGTAGGAGCATGAAGGAACTTTCTGGGCTGATGGTAAAAGTTCACTGTCTTGTTAGGTGTTTGGGTTACACATAAATACAGATTTTTCAAAATTCAACAAATGTATACTTAAGATTTGTACATTTCATTATATGTAAATTTTATGCTAAAAGAGAAGACTTTGAACAGATATTGAACTCTAGCGAAATGATATGCATGCTGACATATTTAGGAAGGAATGTACTAATGTCTGCAATTTACTTTGAAACACATCAAAAATATGAATTGCTGAGTGGACAGAGGATAAATGGATGGATAGATATGTGAGAAAGCAGATGCAGTAAGACATTAATGGTAGAGTCTACATGGAGAGTATACAGGTGCTCACTGTAAAGGAGAGGGCACAGGCAGCTTCACCTTTAGACAGACAGGGAGACCTGCGGATGAACCACCCAGTTCTCCAACTTACCCACAGCCACATAGTGGGCATCGAAGCCCGTGAATCGCTCCTCATTGGAGAAATCTGACCGGAAAGTGACGGACATGAAGGAGCCAGGGGAGAGAATCACCTCCTGGCCGGGGGTCTGCTCTGTGTCTGTGGTCTCCCTGCCACAGAAGGTTGCCAGCACCTGGTCTTCAGTTTCTACCTTGGAGGTCAAAGAGAAAGAGATGAGCAGCTTCCCATTTTAACTTCTCTCCTGATCTTTAGAAAGAAAGAGGAAGGGACTGCCCATGAGTAGACAACTCAGGCAACCCAAAGAAAGGGGATTAGGGATTCTGGAATTTGAGGAAGGACACATTGTAGGTTAAGGTAACGTGGTCATCTGACCAGTTTCATTCATTTTGTTTAGTTCCATCAGAAGTAGCTTGACAATTATCCTTCCTGTTGACAACCAATTGGCTAATTTATTAAAAATAATTCAATGTTAAAAATTTTGAAAGTTAGTTAACCTTGTAGATGGATTCTATGTGCAATAGGAACTTACTGCAAAATTTTTAAAAGTTAGATAAACTTGCAGATGGATTCCATGTGCAAAAGGAACTCACCACATTTCCAAAGCAAAGAAACTTTTTGCACAATATAAGTCGTTCGCTGAGCATCAATGCATGCTGCCACTGAACAAAGTATGAGATGGGGGTGATGAGAGATGGGTAAGACACGGTGCTGTGTACAGGACAGCAGTGTTGAGATTGAGGAAAACAAACACAGACAGAGCTATTATACAGTGTGACAAGTTCTTTAATAGAAGTACAAGTACCGCACAAGTACACTCAGAAGGAGATGAAAGACACCCATTAGAACATCAACTACAGGTGAGCAGGGCTTTCTTTTCTTTACAGATGTGTCCTCAGTGCATGGAACAAGACCTGGCACATAGAAGTTATCCAATAAATATTTGTTTACAAGAACTAACAGTGCAAGACCCATTCTAAGAACAATGAGAACAATGAGAAGCCAGGGAGTCTGTGGGGATTGTAGGAGGAAATGTACTTGGAAGGATATGTGGAAAGTAGATTATGGTTGGCCTTGAATATCATTAATGCTGTAAGTAGAAAACACTGAAAACTTTTAGACAGGGAAGTCACGTAATCAGAACTATATTTAATAGGTAATCTTAATAATACATAAACTATTGATTAGAATCATCCAGGAAGTGTGCATGTTCTGTGCATATGCACATGTTTGTTATTAGATGCAAAAAAATTGCCTATTTGCTAAAAGAATTCTCTACTCTGGAAGAGCCAGAGGCCTTGTGCAAATTCAGAGACCCTAAACTGGTTGCCTAAAGCAGATTTTTATGAGAGTCTGATTTGAGAAACTCAGTATGTTAGCTGGTGGGTACATTTATTTGACTATGAATACTTGACCTACCGACTACTCACTCTATTGTCTTATACCTAACTCCATTCTTTAAGCTTGTATTTGTATTTGAAACTTCTGGACTGATGTTTTAGCCAAGATACATGAGAAAATCTTTTACCAAGAATGATTTCTGCTGCCTTTCAAAGTCATTAAAGGAAAATTCTCAAAGACTGTCTATCTCTAGTAGCTCCTAATGAATTCATTGTTTTGTTCATTAGCTTAGTATGTCAGAAGAATCTTGACATTTGACACTTCTGTTTTGAAACTAATGGTTTATTTATTTAAAATAAGTGGGAGTTTTAAAGAAAAACAATTTGCCCTGGCAACAAAACACAAGGACAATTAATCACTAACTTTGGGAATTGAAGTGTAAACAGAAGATGAGATCATGGCTTTGCTATTTATTCCTCTTCTCTGCAGATACTAGCCGAACTCACACCAGCCTTATTAATGTAGAATGTGCCTATCTGCACACAGTTGAAATGTCACTTCCTTGAACATCCCAGCTGCTGTGTTATTTTGTTTGATTGAGTTTTCCAGATAGCTGAAGATTTTCCTAACTATAATTTAAAAAAAATTTGTATTGATATAATGCTTATTTTAAAAAGTGCTTTATACAAGTCCTTACTTTCTTAAGTGAAATATGCTGACCCTTTCTTGATGATCCAGGGACATTGTTATGGATGTCAACCATCACGATACTACATTAAAGTAATAATCTTGGGATGTTGATTTGTGTAATGTTGCTTGCCCTACCTTGAACATTGCCAGACTGTAATGTCTTAAAATTCTTATATCTTTTTAATGTAGTGTTTTATTTCCTGCCTTTTTATCAGTCTATTAACTGCACTTTCCTGTCTGCTTATTTTTAATATGTTACAACTTAGAAACCAGTTAAAATGCTCTTGTTAGAATTTAATAAAAAGAAGACTAAATAGATTTAGAGTGAGGGCCTGGGAAAGGAATTCTTCTATGAGTAACTGCATGAACTAGAGTGCACTATCTTTGTGATGTCTGCTTTGGAGTAATGTAAAGTGTATGAACCTGGCAATTGGAGGTCCTGAGTCCTATTCCTGACTCTACCATAAACTGCTATATGGCCATCCCCTTTCTAGCTCTCAGTTATCCACCTGTAAACAGGGGCTTAAACTAGCCAAACTCTAGATTGTCTTCCAATTCTGACACAGCAGTCATTATATATAGTCTGACATAGTTCTAACAAGTCATAGCCATACATTACATAAACCAACTCGAAGATGGTGAGCAGGAGTTTCCATACACAGATTGCTGCCTGCTGATGAACTTGTTTGTAATTTATGACTATGTAATACAAAATCAATCACCAGTGAATAGTCATGCCTTGAGCATTAACAGTTTTAGCCATATAGCCTCCTTTCTGTAATTTGGCATCCCCAAGGCCTTTTGGATTATACAGTGACTAGAGCATGAACACTTTCAAGTGAACCAAACCAGAGATCATTTGGACTAAGGAGATACTACCTAGGGTCTGTAACAAATAGATTCCTTCCTTGTAACTTCTGGGCTTAAGGATCTTTTCATGATGGCAGGCAAACTGTCATCACCGGCAGAGTCACAGCAATCCAGAGGAAAGGTAAGAGAGCCATGAGAAAAGCTGAGCCATATACACTGACAGAAGCAGAGAAGAGAAGGCCAGTAGCCTGGGGCCCTGGGAATTCAGCCTGCAGCCCACAATAGAGCCCTGGAATATCAGAGTGGGGAGGGACCTTTAAAAGCTCTTTCAATCTCCCTCCTTCTAGAGGAAACCGGTCCAGAGAGGGGAAGTGACTCGCTCAAGGGTAGAGAGATAACATGAGCATTTTCTGATATCAGTTTTGCTTTTGGAACTATCCTAAGACAGTGGAAAAGAACTCAGCAACTCAGTACATGACAAAAGACACAGACGCTTGGCCAAACAATTTTCCTGGCTTGAGGGCCTCTTGAAACCATATCTCGGTGCATGGACTGTCTCCTAGAGAGGATGTGGCTGTGACAGCTCCAGCCATAACCTAAACAGAAGGGTCACTGGCCCTCGCTATATTTGCATCCCCTGCTGTGGAGTATAAAGTGCCACAAAGATCCTTTACTTCTGAGTATAGGAGGACAGAGCCTTAACTTCTGCTTGGACTGTCCCATCCCTGAGGTCATCATATCAACATGATGGAGGAACCTTATCAAGTGAAGACAAGAAATTCATGATAGGGACCCACGTGGTTGAGGATCACAGACTCTTCATTTTTCTATTATTGTAGGCAACCATGTCCTTACAGATTATTGTTATGTAATGCACCGACACCTGGCTGAGTGTCCTCTATTTGTTTTCTTTCAGTGCAATTCAACAAATATTTATGTACCAAGTTCTGTCTAGATTACAATGTGGAGGATAACAAAAATTATTTGCTCGTTGTATGAGTTTAATAAACAAGTCCCCTGCCTCTGAGAATGTGACATTTAGTAGGAGAATAAGATAAGTACTCAAATGTACATGTGTTAGGGTATTGCCAGGGTACGGAAACTGCAAGGAAAGATGGGAGCCCTGGGGGTTTAAAGAAGGGAAAAAGCTTCATGCAGCTGAGGGGAATCAGAAAACATATAGAAGGAAGAGAATGATGTTTGCGCTGAGGTCTGAAAGGCGAGTAGGATTTAGGCAGGTAGAAATAGTGAGTGGATGTTGGGGGGGTGGGGAGAGCATCTAGGCAGAGGGAATGGTGAAGGCCTGGGGTACTTGGTCTTCACTGTGCTCCATGCCCCCCACCCCAAATCACCTGGCCTTGGAAAGGAGCTCTGTTGAAAATAGAGAGCTGGGAAGGCACATCTAGGGACAAGCTGGAGTCTTTGTTTTCCATGAGTTTTCTATCGCAGCAGAGACAGAGCAAATCTCCCGGGTAAAACTGAGGCAGAGCAGCAGGAAGTTGGTCAAATTTCTGTGGAAGGGCAGAATCTATGCGCTGCTCTCCACATGCACATAGATTCATCACATCAGCTTAACAAACGCACTGACAGTCACCAATTGGCACCGATTGGCTCCTTGAAGCAATGTATGGGGAAAGCAGCTCAAGAGTGATTGTTCCCATTTTATAGATGAGGAGATTGAAGCCTAGATAATTTAAATGAACCGGGCAAGGTGAGTGGTGAACCCAGCGAGTGGTAAACAAATCTAGTGAGTAGTGGATACAGGTTCACAGTCGCAGCATCCTAATTCTCTAGCCAGTGCTCCTTTAAGACACAAGGTGAACAAACAAAGACTGTTTTGCCTCCAAATGCCTCATGTCTTTGCTTGTCAGTGTTCCCAAACTATATTCTGGAGCCCTTCCGAAATCTGCTCTGGGCTCTTGAGCATTTCGGACTTTATCTAGGCAGATATTCAGGGAATATGCTGTTGTCAATTTAGTTGGTCTGGGAACTACATTCCCTGGAATCTCCTTTCCTGTGTAGTTCCAGGTTAGAGTGGCCAAAAGAGGAATTTGTGCAAGTTTGAAGGGCAATAGACATTACTCTCAAAGGTTGATTTGTAATCATATAGAGCGATGAACAGATGTAGACATGTCCAGTGAGTTCTAACTTGTCCTCACATTCCTCTACTCTGCATCCAACTCTTCATTCCAACTGCTGGCTCTGATGACCAACAGCAACCCATGTCTACCACCAGATGCTTGTAGGTGAACCCGTAAGAGGGGGTAGCTGCTTAGAGCCAGCAGCTTCTCAAAGATCTCTTTCTATGAGCCTTGCCTTCTCGGTCCCACTTTGACCCTTTAGACAGACTTG